GGCGGGGGCGGGGCCCAGGCTCTGACCAACAGTGGGGCTTTACAGCACTCAGCGTCTCAGCCCAGGCGTCCCACCGCCGGGAATAAGACCCCAGGAGCGGCCGCCTACTCCGCAGGGCCTCCTTCTCCCTCGGAGGCTTGGGGTGGGGGAGAAGGGCCAGCCCGTGCCCGCACACAACAGCCTCCCAGGGTCAGACAGCCCGTCCCTTCCCCTCCACGAGCTCCAGCCTCCTGGCTGGCCGCCCTGTCAGGGGCTCATGGTGAGACTTTGGGCAGTGAGCGCTGGGCCAGGACAAGTGTGAGCCCAGATGGCCATGGCAGCAAGGAAGGCAGAGATGCCCCTGAGCGCCCCAGGGACAGTGTCAGATCTCTCACGGTGTGCCTAGGCCAGGGACCTCACACTCTTGTCGGGCGGCCGTGCCCACAGGGAGCATGCTCCCGTCAGAGGACACAGGCGGGCACAGCCAACCAGACACCTGGGCCCAGGCTGTCTCTGATACACGGGGACCGGCCTGGGAGCGGGAGGCCGTGCCCCTTTGCTTCGCTCGGCCTTTGTCACCGTCACCCGCTCAGTGTAGCTGATGAACTGGAAAGTGTGGGAACGGGAGGGCCGGGGCCAGAGAGGGCCCGGAGCTGCACAGGGTCCCACGGCCAGTCAGGGCCCAGCGGAACCACCTCTCCCTGCCGTCACCAGCCCCCAGCCACCAGCACCCTCCCCTCCACTGTCTGCCCACAGGGCTAAACTCTAGGGGCACCAGCATCTTTCTCCTGAAGGGAGGCTCCCCAGGGAGCAGTGAGGAGGCGGGGCCCCCTTTGGCCATCCCAGGCAGCCCAGGGGTTGGAGGCTGGCCTTGTCCATGTGCCCACAGGGAGGGGGCGCCACCTAGCCTGACTTGCCCCACTAGGTTCTGCCCTGGGTGCAAGCATGAGGCCTGTCCTTGAGAAGCAGTGACAACCCTGTGCAGAGGGGCTGTCATAGGGGGTTCAGCGGAGCGGAGTGGGAACATGGCGGGTGCAGCTGGAGCAGGCAAGGAGGTTTCCTGTAGGAGGGGCAGGGAAACGGGTCTCAGAAGGTCAAGTAGGAACTGGGGTTGGGGTGGGGACAGAGGGAAGAGCAGGGCAGCTGACTGCGGGGAGGACGGGCCAGGTGAGGACCAACAGCGTGACCCCGTCCCCAGCCTCGCCCACGTCTGTCACCACCTACGAGACCTGCCAGACCTACGAGCGGCCTATCGCCTTCACCTCGCGTTCCCGCAAGCTCTGGGTCCAGTTCAAGTCCAACGAAGGCAACAGCGGCAAAGGCTTCCAAGTGCCCTATGTCACCTACGACGGTACGCGCAGCCACACTGCGTGCCTGGCCCAGGCTGGCCCTGGGCACACGGGATGGATCACACATCCCTGGCCAGGGAGCTCCAGCCTGAGGTGGGGTGGGAGGGACGGACAGGCCCACACTGGGTACGAGGTACAGATGAGGGGGCCGTTAGTGGGATCTGCGGACTTCTCCGCGAGGTACTGGGTTCTGAGAGTTTTCAGAGTTAAGTAGGGGTTTTCTGGCCACCTCGAGGAACCTCGAGGTCGAGTGTTGGCTGGAGGACAGGAAGGCTCGGAGGCAGAGCAGCCTATAGCTGGAGCAGGGAGGGAGAGGCCGGAGGCAAGGGGCGGCAGGCGGTCTGGAGCCCTGCACCTTCCCTCCCCGGCCTCGGCAGAGGACTACCAGCAGCTGATAGAAGACATCGTGCGGGACGGACGGCTGTACGCCTCGGAGAACCACCAGGAAATTTTGAAAGTAAGTGAGCTTCTTTACAGGAAAGGGCCCGTGTCATCCCTGAATAGGGGCCTGTGACGATCCAGGGCCACCCCTGCCCCCGGGCCCCGGAGAAGTGGGGGGAGGGTGGCGACAGGAGAGAAGGTGACAGGAGGTCGGGGGGTTTGGGGGGGGGGGCCAGGCTTATGTCCTTCCAGACAGGAGGTCTGAGAAGAGCTCTCTGGTGGGGTCAGCTCAGGACCTGGTGACGTGGCCTCGGGCAGGTTCCTGACCAGCTCTCAGCTTCACTTTCCTTATCTGTGAAGTGGGGGTCGTCTGACAGAGTGGTATCTTAAAATCAGTGGGATCCAGCCCCTCCTTTGGGCTGACTCCCTCCTCATCCCGTCATGGCCCTGAGAAGCAGAGTTCCCTTGTCACTGAGGGGGTCTATGGCCATCAGGCAGCACACACCAGCCAGGTCAGGGCCCTGGGTTTGCATCACAAGAAGCCAGCCCAGGGTCGTGCTTGGGCTCAGCCTCCAGGGAGACAGCACCCATCCTGGGAGCCGAGGTGGCGTAGAAGGCAAGGGCAGGGCAGGGCCAGTCCGCTGGGTGACTCTGCTCTAGCTGTCACAGTTGGGTGGCCCTGGCAAGCCCTCTGAGCCCCTACTTCCTCCGCTGAGAAATCACAGCCGCTCACAGAGCTGGGCCTTTCCAGCTCCGGGCCTGGCACCCATGCCCACAGGAGACAGTTTGTGAGTGACACATCTGCCTGCTGCAGCTGCACCCAGCTGAGGTCTGGAGGCCTCAGAGCGCGGGGGAACCCCTCTCCCTCCTCAAGGGCCCTTCTGACTCTGATGAGCAGGAAGCAGGGGGTGGGCCTAGCCTCGCGTCAGTCTGTCCTATAGACAGCACCCAACTCTGTCCTCCTCGCCCCTCCTCCGCCACCTGGCCCTCTGCCCACAGCCCCACCCTGCAGCTGGGAGCAGCTCTTCAGAACTAGAGTGTTCCTTCCGCCTCAGAGCGAAACCTCGGCCCCTGCCTGCCTCTGCAGGGCTCTCGGACCTGCACACTCCCTGTGCCTGGCCCCAAGGCCTCCTGGGAACAGTCTCCCCCAACCTCTTTCTCAGTGAACCCCCACCCATCCTTCTGCTCTCAGCTCTGGCAGCCTGTCCTCAGGGCGGCCACCCTGACGTCCTGGTCAGGTCACAGACTCGGAGTCCCATGAAGTCCTCCTTAGCACCTGTCAGCACTGCAGTTTAGGTTTGTCCTGTGATTACTGGCCCCCCCCCACTTCCCCCCTCGTCCTTCTTGTCGGGGAGGAGCTGCGGGGGTTCCTGCCCACACTGAGCACACAGGATGGACACCGCAGGACACGTCAAACTCGGAGACAGCAGATGTGGCCATAATCACAGATGCAGTCTCTGGCATGGTGGTTGCCCCTCCCTGAGCCCCCTCCCCGGGCCCAGCTTGGGGGCTCTGCCAGAGCCCTCGGGGAGACCATGGCCAAGTCTCACACTGCTCCTTAGGGCCTCCCCCAGGGTGGCATCGCCCTACTTGAGAGAGGGCCCAGTGGTAAGTGATGGCAGCTGAGTGTGGACCACATCTGCCCATCCAAACCACCAGCTGAGGACAGGCCTGGGCCATGTTGGCCGCCATGGGCCAGGCTCTTTGCTTTGGCGTTGGTCTCCCTTCCAGCCCTGAGCAGAGGGATCAGACAGAGCTCACAGACGAAACACCGAACTTCAGAGCGGCAGGGCCACCTCCCAGGTCAAGGGGCTAATGGCCCTCAGAACCCGGCTCTGCTCCGTGTCCTGGTTCCCAGCGTGCTGTCCTGTTTTCTGTTTCTGCAGCAGGACCTTTATTAAATAGAGTATTATTGGAACCTCAAGACTTAAAACCGATAGACTATTAAAACAACAATTAGACAATTAAAACCAAAAACTTATTTATGGCGACAAGAGTCTGTGGGGTTATGACACCCACCAGCCAGCCCAAGCTCTGCCCCCTTCCTCCACCCTTGCAGACGGCCCACAGGCCCCGCGGGGGCGGAGGCTGGGCATCCAAGAGGCGAGTGGCGGGGTGGCCCCACCGTGGCCTCACCCGGGCCCGGCCCTGTCTTGCAGGACAAGAAGCTGATCAGGGCTCTCTTCGACGTGCTGGCGCACCCCCAGAACTACTTCAAGTACACGGCCCAGGAGTCCAAGGAGATGTTCCCGCGCTCCTTCATCAAACTGCTGCGCTCCAAAGTGTCGCGGTTCCTGCGGCCCTACAAGTAGCACGGGTGCCGCCCGCCGCCCTGCTTGGGGATGCGGGGTCCGGGGATGCGGCTTCTCGTGCTGCTGCGACCTCCGGTGCGGGCGTCCCCCGGGCGGCTCCCGCCCTCCGCGCAGCTGAGGCCGCTCCACCCGCCCCTGTTGCCTTGGGAGACCCCGTGGCGGCTGCCCTTTTGGAAAGGCCGACTCCCGTGGAGGGCAGGGCCACACCCCGGCAGGGACCTCAGCCCTGCGCTCCTCGTCCCTCCCCGCCCTGGGGGCGCATTGCTTAGGGCAGCCTCTCCCACCCTCCCTCCGCCTGTTCCTTTCCTGGACACGAGAGTCCCCTGTCCTGGGCCCGCACTGGTGGACGCCACCCGGTCCGGGGCACTGTGCCACCGCACGGGCGGGTCCTGGCAGAGAGCACGTTTGGGGACTGCATGTGCTTCTGGCAGGACACTTCAGGAGAGAGAGGAGCATGGCTGCTACCATCTCCCAAAGGACAAGCCAGGCCTCGGGAGGAAGGGTGTGCAAGGCCATCTGGACGGCTTCGATAAGCTGGTATTGAGGCCTGCAGGGGCCCACACCCGCAGACTCCTCTGGCCACAGGCCCAAGACGCCACTGCCCTGTGGTCAGGGCCCGTGGGTCCTGTGAGGGGACAGAAAAGAGCTGCTAGGCGAGGAAACTGTAGATTTGTGCTTTTCCTTTGATAGAGCATCTAATTAAGTATTATATATATATAAATATAAATATATATGAAAATATACTTCTATTTGTGGGTACATTAGGAAAATTCTCTTAAGCAACTGTAAATATGGCCACCCTAGCTGCTGCCAGCCACCCAGGCTAATGCAACTGCTTCCCCAGGCGCTTGCCACCTCTGTGTACGTGAGGCCGGGGACAAGGCAGGCTGGCCCTGGACAGCCTTCGGGACACAAGTTCTTCGGGAACCGGGCTGCAATGCTTTGCCGGAGTGTTGGCCTCAGATGGAACATGGCGATCCCCTTCCTGGGGTGCAGGGGCCCCGCAGTCAGCTTCGGAAGGGGCCTGTGTCTGGCCTTGAGGCCATGGCTTTGGGTCCGTGCTGTGCCCAGACGCCCCCAGACGCAAGGACTCTCCCACGCGAGCACAAGCTGCGTGGCCCAGGAGGGCAAGAGGCAGCCTGGCCCTCGGAGCCTCGGCTCCCAGCACAGCCTCCCTTCTGCTATGCCCTGCTACCCCTCTCTGAGCCTCTCCTTAAAAAGAAAAGTCTGGAGTTTGACCCGATTGCCTGGTGCCCTGCTCAGCCAGGAAGCCAGCGCTGGGAGAGAGCCTGAGAAAACTAGGCATGCTAAGGCCTGCCTGCTGGGGACTCTGGCTACCCAGTACAGGACGGGCACAGGAAGTGGTCTGTATTTTTAAGGCTAATGAATATTCAAAATCCAAGGAACGTAGGGGAGTCTTAAGACGAAGCCCCACGCCTGCTCCAGGTTGCCTCCTCCTCCCCGGAGCCAGGATGACCAGCGGGGGGGCGAGCACCCCACGAGGAGCCTCTGCGTCTGAGGATGGTGGAGACGGCAAGGGGGTGAGGTCTCCGGCGATTCAGGGCTTGATGACAGGCAGGTTATGATGAATTTTACAATCCAAACAAAAGAGCCTGGAACTCAGGAATTAGTCACTGCCATTCCCTGTCTCGGCAACGGCGAGTCCCCAGCCCAACTGGCATCTGTGCCATCTCTACCGAAATCCAACTCAAGTTGGGAGGGGCAGCACTTGGTAGGTAGGTGGCCAGTGTCAGCTGAGAAGCCCCGTCGGGCCACACTGCCCTTCCCCCGGTCACAGTCCTTAAAAGCCTTAGTTTCCAGAAAGAGGCTTGTCTTCCCTTGGTTATCCCCAGAAATCAGACAAGTATCCGCCAGAGCGAGCCCCCAGCAACAGCTCCCAGTGCATGGGGGGTACCGGGAGGGTATGTTTCAATCCTCCCCCAAAACCCAGAGAGGGCCAGAAAGACCTCTGACCTCTTCCTGCCGTTCTCGTTGGTGACTTCTGGCAGTTGGCCATCCCCATACGCACTAATCCACCCGCCCTGTTAGTGGGAGTCTACCCACACTTTGTGGCCTCCTGCCACTGTGGTCAGACCCAGCCCAGTGTCCCTGGGCAGAGCTGGATGGGGGCAGGCTCAGACGTAGGTCCCCACGGCCTTCACGAGTACCAGGTAGCCAGCAACACACACAGTCACCACGCAGCCCCCCTCCCCAATCAAACTGCCCCCTGACATCAGGGACTCAGAGTCCAGGGGCGGCTGTCCCGAATCTCCACGTCAGCCCTCAGTCCCACCGGTTAAACCCAGAGCTGTCCCCAGTCCTCAGGGCCTGCTGGTCCTGGGGGACCTCCCCAGGCAACGGCACACTTCTCCACGTTTCCATGTTGTAGAAGCCAGTAGTGACTTGGCTGACACAAGGTGGCCATTCCACCTGGTTCCAGGTGAGGGAGAGAAAAGAAGGTGGGCGAGGGCTGGGCCCAGGAAGGACAGATCCCCACGACGAGTCCAGAAGCACGGAAGCCGAGGACCAGGGTGCAGGAGTCCCGTGCTGCCGAGGAAGAAGCCAGCTGGGCAGGGGCTGAGCCAGAGGTGCACCCCCCACTCCTGGATGGGCGTGGCCCTATGACAGCCAGACTCATCTGGGCCGCCCAGGCCTGCCCTTGGCCTGCACCGACCCTCAGTGGCTGGTCAGTCGGTGAACTTCAAGGGAAGGAGCTAAGGAACAAGCTTCTGGAAAAAGCTTACCCAGTCGGCCAGGACGGGAAGCAGGCGCCAAGGCCAAGAGGCTCTGATAAGCTCGGTTCTGCTCCTGGGGAGCATCGTGCTGGGCCAGCTGGAGACACAGCGAAGACAGCAGTGGGAGACCACGGCGTCCGCACATGATTCCTGGGGACGTGCCACCGCCCCGCGTCCCCGGCCCTCCTGGAACTCTCTGCTTCCACAGAAACATGCTGAGGAAGGAGAAAGACTCTGCCGGGGGGCTAGTGGCCAGCCAAGCCCTGGGTGTGTTGACGTCCCTCCATCTGCTTCCCCAAATGCGGCTCGTTTTTCCCCAGTTCCCCCCTGTACTTGAGCCGCAGCCTTGCAGCTGTCACGCCATGCTGGCCTGTCCCCTCCCCTGGAGCTCTCCATCCAGTCTCTCAAACAGCAGCGTCAGCCCCTGTCCCCCAGGTCCAGTCTGCCAGTGCTGGTGACATCATTCTTCCCAGGGCCGGCTCCCCAGGGACGGTCCTTCCCAGCTTCTGCCCACCTCTATGGTGACACGCTCGAGGAGGCTGTTGGGCCCAAGGACAGCTTTCCCTCCTGCCATCCTCCGTTGGTTTGGGACACGCAGATAAAGTAGAACCAAAACCCAGCCCGTAAAGTCTCCAGACTGCAATGGCCCAGAGAGGCTGACTCTGAAAGCCTGCGAGACCCTCTCTCCCCGACCTCACAAACCCGTTTCCTACCTGAACCCTTGTTCTCCCAGAGACGCAGCCAAGGTCACCTCTGACCTGTGGGAGCTATAGCAGGTGCCTAACTGACATTTTTGGGGGGGGTGAATAATTATCCCAGCACCTCCGCCACCCCCAGAAGAAGACTAAGATACTGAACTAAGTCGGGTCACTTAGCAGACGTTTGCCGAGCACTTACGTGTTCTAGGCTCCTATAAAGGCAGGGAGACCACAGCTGGGAACTGACAGGATCCCTGGAAAGGCCCCCTGGTCACAGAGACAAAGGTGACTGAGGCTGAGCTGGTGGTGGGCAGAGCTCAGCGTTCTCCTCAGGAAAAGCCAGTCCCTAACCCCAGCGCCACCCAGGACCCCCACTGGGGATGGAGGGCATCCACAGAGGGGACAGAGCTGGGGATACATCTGCATTTCAGGGACATCGGAAGAAGCAGCAGCCAGCCTGGCCTCACGAAGCGGCCGCCCTCCTCCACCGGCAGACAGAGATGCACACGGGTCAAAGCTGCTGACCTTGGGAGCCCGGCTGCCCACATGCGGCCCTGCTGCCTGTGCCCACACGGCAGGCGCTCCACAAGGGACGTGCCTTTCTTGGCACCCAGGGACCCCAGCTCCATGCTTAGAAGTCGGTCAAACTGGCAAACCACATCTTCTATCAAGGCCCCTCTTCTTCACCAACGACACACATGGTGGCAGCCTAGCCTTTCTGAGCCAATGTTTAGGCCAAAGGCGGAAGGATTTGACATTCGGGAGACACTGTGAATAGTTCCTATTCTCCCACACAGACCGCCAGCCCTTCCAGGAGTAAGTCCTAAGGACCTACTGTGTGCCAGGCACAGAGCCAGCACAAGCGGGAGTCAGCCTCACCCAGGCTGCCTGGCTTCCTGGAGAGGGCGCCAGCAGAGGCGAGCCAGCCCCCCAGCCCCGGCACGGACGACACTGCACGGCCACACGCTCCCTCCCAGAACCCTGCGCAGGTGGCCTGCAGAGAACAGGACGCTTTGCTCTCTGGGGCCTCCTCAGACCCTGAAAAGACCCCCCGAAATTCTCTGTGCACCCCTAATCTCAAAAGGAAGGGCCAGGGGTCCCCTTCCCACCCTGGCCAGGCTCTGAGCTCAACCCACTACCGTCTGCTCACAAAATCCCTCTGCCCCGGAGGAACGTGGGGCTAAACGAGTTCTTCAGATGCGGAGCCTAAGACTGGGAGCTGAGCGACCTGCCCAAGGCGATAGTTATAATTCATGGGACCGAGAATCAGAACCAAGCCCGTCTGATCCCAAAGTAGGAAACGTCTCTCTGAAATGTCGGTACCGAATTTTGCAGGTTGGCCAGCCCTGGTAGCAGAGCGTCCGGAGGCAGGGGTATGAGGAAGAGGGCAAGCGGGTGAGGAGGGGTGCGGATGTAACTGGGGTCCTTCCCTCTGGAACAAGCACTAAAACTTCACTCAGAGAAAGAGGGGCCTCTGCCTTCTGCCCCGGTGGACAGGTCACTTCCGTTCCAACGTGAGCCCGCTGAGTGAACTGGGCCGCAGCGTCCAGCCCAGGCCCCGCTCACAGCCCCGGATGCATGCCGAGTGTCCCCTCCCCCATCAGGCCCTCTCGCAGTCCAGGCACAAGCACAGTAGAGAGTGTGGGTGTCCCTCAGCTGACAGGCGGTGAGAAGTAGGGGTGGGGGAGAGAAAGCTGGTCGACGCCAAGTATTTTCTTGTTCGGTCCACCAGAGGCCACGTACATCTTTGGGGAAACTTCCTGATTCTGCCGAGATCAGAACCGTTACGCAGTCTGGGCAGACCCGGTCCATATTGCTCTTGACACAGGATGCCTGCATATCGCTGGGTCGGGGAGGGACCAAGGGACCAGAGAGCGGAACCCTGGTGCCTGCGAGCCTTGCCCTTGGTCTTCCGTGACGGCGCTGAGTGTCCTGGCGCTTCGGCAATCACCGCCTACAGAGTGACACTATCGGTGTAACCACGTTTTTCTTTTAGTCGCCTCGAATATTCGAAATTTTGTTTTCTCATTATGTTCGTACATATGCATGTATTTAAACATTTGTGAAAATCACTTTAATAATAAACAGAAAATGAACGTAAACACCGCTCCTTTCTCTCATTCATCAGAGGTCATGCTGGCGGGGAGCAAGGTAACTGAAACCTGAAAAGAAAAGCTTTTCAGAAATCCCCTGGCTGTACTGAGCGCTGAAAAGTACAGGTGCTGCAGTACGTTCTGGAAGGCACGGCGGAAGTCTGAGATCTGAAGGTGAAGGGCACCCGAAGTTAGGGAACACACCTGCTCCTAAATGGTCTACCACAAAGGAAGGCCGTTTCAAATCTCATTCTTCCTCGTGACCGGCATTATGAAATGTGAGGCGGCGTCCCTCCCTGTCCACGGGGACTTCCATCTGGGAGTCATGGGCACGGCGAGCCTCAGGGGACCCGGGACCCCTCAAAATTAGGTGCGAAATCAGTGCCCTTAGTGTGTGCACACCTGCACGTACATGCACATGCATTTCTCTGGGAATACAGCCCATGGCCTTCATCAGATTCTCAAAGAATTTAGAATCCCAACCAAGCTAATAACTATTCTCCTCAATAATGAGGACAGTCTGGTGTCACGCACTCGGCAGGAGAAAAAACAATTGTATAAATGATATTAATATTCTAAACAAGGTACGCATCTCGAAGAGCTATTTCTCATGCACATCCACTGGCTGAGGAATTATTCCACGGTTGATGCCGATTTGTATCAAAGTCATCAGTTCCAATTTTTTCATCCAATTCATGGGATCAAAATTAAGCTTTCGGAAGTTCATTCCGTCCGAGGTGAAAAACTAGCATTATTGTGAATGCTACCCAGCTAACTCAGTGAGAAAGTTGAACACTGAAGGCCTTTTTTTGCGATGATAATACTCATATGAAATTCGATGGGACACAGTACTAACCTTCTAAGTAATAACCCCATGGAGCAGACATGCATTTGGAATTAGATGTGGTTAAGAATTTCATCCAAACAAGCTGTAAAATTATACTGTTGACTGAAAAATAACGTCTAGGTGTTTCATCACCAAAAAGTATTTATTTGGGAAAAAGATAGCGTTGCAAGCGAGTGCATGCAGACATGGCAAGACACGTGCACACCCTGGCCTGTATGCCAAGATGGAGGAGTATTTATAGAAGGGAAAAGGAAGTTAAAACCATAAGCTTTACTATAAACAGAGTTCTCGTAGTGTTCTTGTGTATAGCGGTCTCGCAGCTAGAGTACAAGAACTTCCAGAAGTCCCAGCTCCTCCCATAGACTCTCCTGACAGATTATGTTTGCTTAAAGTTCCAGTTAGTCTTTATCAATACTAATTGAATTAAAAACCATAGTTGTCAAAATTTTACAAGTATTCATAATTAGAGTAATTGAAATACAATTTTTTTGTGACAAAGCCAATGTCAGACACGAAAAAATACTTGAGCGTGGCAGTAACATGTCTTTCTCTGTGCCCCTCACCAACTGGAGTTTGGAAGTTTGTCTTTGCATACAATTTAAGTGTCTTAGCCACGTCGAACACGTCCTCTAGACTGGAGTATTCGCTCAAATTCAGTTTTAAACTTTTCATAAGAATATTCAGCAACTGAAGCACCACCCAACAAAACTTAAGCCTTTGAGCCTTTTAGCAAAATGCAATGATTGCAAAGTTGCAAACGGGAAGCCAACGGAACACATGGCCGTGGAAGTGTGTGGGAGGGAGAAACTTCCTTTCGCTAATCTAATAATCAAATAGACATGAGACAGAGTGACAAGAGGGAATAACTGAATTTAATGCATCTGTACACATGAGAACCCCACATGCATGAGGAGACCCCACACACATGAGAGGTTCAGAGACAAAGGGAACATGGGTGTGTAAGACATTCTGAGCTACCCACGAGGCAAAGTGCCTTGTGGGCTTCGAAGGATCATTGCAGGATGATACAAAGAGTTTTCAGTAATTAGAAGTTTTCCTTACCCTATAGATAGGCTTTACTATGTAAGACATTCTGAGCTACCTACGAGGCAAAGTGCCTTGTGGGCTTCAAAGGGTCATTGCAGAATGATACAAAGAGCTTTAAGTAATTAGAAGTTTCCTTTACCCTATAGATAGGCTTTAAAAAAAAAAAAAAGTTATCTCTGATAATCCCTTATTATGGGCGAGTCCCCCAATTCAAATTCCTCTAGATAGAGGGGCGTGGGCAGAATTTTCCTTTGAGGCCTCAGGGTCTCAGTTGCCTTGAACTCAAAAATAATCCACATACCACTTAGGCATATCTCGCGGGTGGCTCTCTCTGAACTTCCATAGAAGTAATAGAAGAACTTGAAAACTCAGGATGTTCAAAGAATGATTTTTTGAAATTCTGTAATTGCACTTTGAAACACCTTTGCAATAGCTCAACTGGTAAGAAAAACCTCCCAATTTTAAATGCATAAATTTGCATTCTGAATCCAAATGAGAAGGCCCACTTCTTTACAGCACTTAAGTTAGGTGAAGCACTCAAAGTATCGGAGAGCCCCTCCTCCTTCCCGAGGCCTGCAAGTCATCAAACTGTGCTCGGCGCCCGGGGCGGCAGCTCAGCCACAGCGCTGTCTCTGGCCCTCAGTTTCCCCTTGGGGAGAGGCTCCGGGGGTCTCTTCGGTTCCGACCGCGCTCGGACCTCCTCCCGGCATCCCGCGGGACAGGCGCGGGCGAGCGAGAAAGCCCCGCCCCCGCCAGGCGCGCGTGCGCAGAGGCCGCAGCTCTGGCCACAAACGCGCCCCCCGCGCGCCCGGCCCCGCGCGCTCGCCCCTCCGACGGCCAGGC